GATACAATACAATACAATAATACAATGCAATGCAATGCAATAATACGATACGATACAATACAATACAATAATACAATACAATACAATACAATGAAATAATACAATACAATACAATAATATAATACAATACCAATACCAATACCAATACCAATACCAATACAGTAATACAATACAATACAATACAATACAGTAATACAATACAATACAATACAATACAATACAATACAATAATACAATACAATGCAATGCAATAATACGATACGATACAATACAATATAATACAATACAATGAAATAATACAATACAATACAATAATATAATACAATACCAATACCAATACCAATACCAATACCAATACAGTAATACAATACAATACAATACAATACAGTAATACAATACAATACAATACAATACAATACAATACAATAATACAATACAATGCAATGCAATAATACGATACGATACAATACAATATAATACAATACAATGAAATAATACAATACAATACAATAATACAATACAATAAAATACCAATACAATACGATACAATACAATAGCAGAGTTGGAAGGGACCTTGGAGGTCTTCTAGTCCAACCCCCTGTCTATGCAGGAAACCCTATACCATTCCAGTAGAGAAGGGAGGGAGGGGGAAGAGAAAGGGAAAATTAGGTGGTGTCACAACAAGCGGAAGGGATGGTAAATAAAGCAACCCAAACTGTATATTATAACCTATTAAATGAAATAATAAATGGATAAGAATGACAAATGTAAAGAAGAAGAAGAAGAATTATGTGGAATGTATCTTTGAAATGGTATGTAAGAGATAAAAAAAATAACAAAAATCCTGGAAAAAAACCACACCCTCTTCCGCCTCCTCTCAGTCCGTTTCTCTTGTCTTCCGCAGGGTAAATTCATCCGAATCCACTTTGGGGCGACAGGAAAGTTGGCGTCAGCCGACATAGAAACCTGTGAGTATATCAAATATTTCCAAACCGCTCCAAGTTTCGTCATCGATTCTCTGAAAGCCCTTGGATTGTTTCTTCCCCACCCGTTCACCCTCTCGGTATCTTTTCTGTCGTTGTCTCTCCTTTTCCCGTCTTCCCTTTAGACCTCCTGGAAAAATCCAGAGTAATCTTCCAGCTGAAGGCGGAGAGGAATTACCACATCTTTTACCAGATCTTGTCTAATAAGAAGCCGGAGTTGTTGGGTGAGTTATTCACCAGGGATTTATAAAAACCCGCGTTTTTAAGACCACACGAGGAATCCGGCAGCCAATTTTGGTCGCCAGACTACCAAAAAAAAAAAAAAAAAAAGGATGTCGACAACTTTGGAAAAAGTTCAGGGAAAAACAACTGAGATGATCAAAGGCCAGGAGACTCAAACATCGCCGGGCAGGATTTGGATTTGGCTAGTCGAAAGAAAAGATGAATTAGGGGGTGACATGATAGCATTCTCAGAGTGGCCTAGAGGCGGAGCTCTCGCCTCACACTGATGAGGCTGTGAGTTCGGTCCCGGGTAGAGGCAGATATTTCTCTCTTTTCGATACAATGAGAATTTATCCGCTGAACAAAACTCCGCATTGGCGACAGGGAAAGGCATCCGGCCAGGAAATACTCAGCTCCATTCAGTTGCCTAGATTCCATCCAGCAAGGGTCATTAAAAGAAGATGATGATAGCAGTATTCCAGCACTTGAGGGGCTGTCCCAAAGAAGTGGGGCAGGACATGAAACAATGGTTGGAAACTAATCAAGGAGAGAAGCAAGCTGGAATTAAGGAGAAACTTCCAAACAGTGAGGACAATTAACCAGTGGAAGAGCTTGCCGCCAGAAATCGTGGTTGCTCCATCACGGGACGTTTTTAAGAAGAGACTGGACAGTCACTTATCTGAAATGATATAGGTTCTCCTGCTTAAGCAGGGGGCTGGACTAGAAGACCTCCAAGGTCTCTTCCAGCTATTCTATTCTATTCCATTCCATTCCATTCCATTCCACTCCATTCCACTCCACTCCACTCCACTCCACTCTATCCTGTTCTGTTCTGTTCCATTCCGCTCCACTCCACTTCATTCTATCTATTCTGTTCTCTTCTGTTCCGTACTGTTCCACTCCACTCTATTCCATTCTATCTATTCTGTTCCGTTCTGTTCCATTCCACTCCACTACATTCTATCTATTCTGTTCTGTTCTCTTCTGTTCCATTCTGTTCCATTCCTCTCCACTCCACTGCATTCTATCTATTCTGTTCTCTTCTGTTCCATTCCATTGATAGAATCAAGAACACATGAAGTGTTAATACCACTTTATAAGGCCTTGATAAGGTCACACTTGGAATACTGCATTCAGTTTTGGTTGCCACGATGTAGAAAAGATGTGGAGACTTCTAGAAAGAGTGCAGAGAAGAGCAACAAAGAGGATTAGGGGACTGGAGGCTGAAACATAGGAAGAACGGTTGCAGGAACTGGGTATGTCTAGTTGAATGAAAAGAAGGAGTAGGGGAGACATGATAGCAGTCTTCCAATATCTCAGGGGTTGCCACAAAGAAGAGGGAGTCAAACTATTCTCCAAGGCACCTGAGGGCAGAACAAGAAGCAATGGGTGGAAACTAATCAAGGAGAGAAGCAACTTAGAACTGAGGAGAAACTTCCTGGCAGTGAGAACAAATTAATCAGTGGAACAGAAGTTGCCTCCAGAAGTTGTGAATGCCCCAACACTGGAAGTCTTTAAGAAGACGTTGGATAGCCATTTGCCCGAAGGGTTTCCTGCCTAGGGGGTTGGACTAGAAGACCTCCACGGTCCCTTCCAACTCGTATTGTATTGTATTGTATAAATATTTGTACCCAGATGACACACTGCTTCAGGAAAGATGGAACGTTTATATTTTTTTGAAAATATAAAAACAAATCGAAAACAAATTAAAAAAAACTTTTTAAAAGAAAAAAAGAAAGAAAAACCCCACATCTTTGGCACCACTTTCTTTTGAGTTGAGTCTCCTTTCAAATTAGTTGCGGTGAAACACTTCTAACTTTGGTAAACGAAACCAAAGATGGGGGGGGAATAACCACTTAGGAAGAGAAGGTGTGTAAACGCTTGAATTCTTCCATGTGTTTCTCTTTCCAGACATGATGTTGGTCACCAACAATCCTTATGACTACGCCTTCATCTCCCAAGGAGAGACCACAGTACCTTCCATCGATGATGCCGAGGAACTGTTGGCAACTGACGTGAGTAATATTCTCCCAACTTGGCTTCTAGATCAGAGGTTCCTACCTTGGCAACTTGAAGGCCTGTGGACTTCAACTCCCAGAATTCCCCAGGCAGCATGGGTTTCAACCTGGGCAAATGGAAGATTTACGATCTGTGGACTTCAACTCCCAGAATTTTCAACCCACCTAGAGATTTTTTGGATGTCGGGGTTCCAAATAGCATCCAAAAGTAAATCAGAGTCCGAGGCAAAGGATTGCTCCAATTTATGAAGAGAGACATGTTGGCACATCTGGGAAAACCTGAATCTGAAAGCTTCCCGGTTTTCCCCCACCCAGTTGAAAGTTCAAGATCTTGCCCTCACACCCACAAGTCCATCCCAGAGTCCAATTTTCCACTGCCATGTTGGCAGCTTCCACCCATCCAATTCCAGTCAGGTGCAGAGGTTCAAAGACAAAGGATGACCTTTGCTTTCTAGAAAGAATGTTGTTATGGCTACATAGCATCTAACTCCATGCAATCCATTTTCCCACAATAGGAAATGCATAATAGAATAATAGGAAATGTGGCAGGCCAAAGATCCAGAAGAAAAGATGGCTGCTGGCCTGACATAGAAACGGAAGGCCAGAGGTCTTCAAGGTGTCCAGGTTGGACACTCCTTGTTCAAGATGTTTTGGACTGTTGAACTTTGAACCTTGGCAACTTGAAGACTTAAGATTTGTGGACTTCAACTCCCAGAATTCCCCATCCAGAGTGGCTAGCTGAGGAATTCTGGGAGTTGAAGTCCCCTGATCTTCAGATTGCTCAGACTGGACACTCTTTGTGCCAGATGTTTTGGACTATTGAGCCTTGAACCTCAGCGTGATGACCCGGGACAAGGCACGAAGGTCGCACAGCCAGCTGAGAGTTCAAACTCCCCTTTAATGCTCCAAATTGGCCCCCAAACGCTCGCGTGTTCTTGGCAAGTCCACGAAACCAGGAATAAACAATGAGTCAGGAAGAAGGCCCTGAGTTCACCAGCAAGGAAGAAGCAAGCAGTCCTGTAAACTCCAACTACCGGCACACCAAACTCGTTTGTTCCCGACAAAAGGCCCCTCCGCACAGCATCTCCTTAAGTCTTAGTCCCCAGCTGTGCCTTGTGAAGAGGGGCCGGGTACTTTCCTCCCGAGTAGCCGGATCAGTCTGTGCTGTTCTCGCCTTCTCTCCACTCTCCGTGCTCTTGGATCAGGAGCGGGTGGTCCTTGCTCATCGCCTGAGTTCCGTCGCTCCTCATGTCCACTGCTCGCCCTCTCTCGGTCATCCTGCTCCCGTTCCTCTCTACTAGCAAGCTGTCCCAATTCTGAGGGGCCCCGGGCTGCCTCGTCCTGCTCCTCCCCACATTCCTCTGAAGCCAACGAGGCCACCCCCTCGATCTGCGTCGGCTCTAGCTCCAGCTCATATATCCTCCGCAGATTCAGGCTCCGACAGCGGGCACGACACATGCCAACTTGACTTCGACTCCCAGAATTCCCCAGCCGAGCCAATCTCCCAATTCCAAGCCGAACTTCATTTTAGGCCAGGGTTCTCAAACGTGGCCCCTTTCAGACTGGTGGACTTCAACTCCCAGAATTCCCCAGCCAGCATCCTTTAAGACTGGTGGACTTCAACTCCCAGAATTCCCCAGCCAGCGTGGCTAGCTGGGGAATTCTGGGAGTTGAAGTCCAACAGGTCTTCAAGTTGCCCAGGTACGACACCTCTAGTTCAAGATGTTTAAACTACGGCATTGCGCCCTGAACTTTCCCCATGTAAAGTCTCATGGGACTTGTAGTCCAAGCTATATCTGAGCAATCTGAGATTGGAGATCGATTTGTTGGAATTGGAATAGTGGGTTTGTTTGGGTTGAGCGTGGAGTTAATACCGTATTTTTCGGAGTATAAGGCGCACCTTTATCCCCTACTAAAAGAGGGCGAAAATTTGGGTGAGTCTTATACACTCAATGTAGCCCCAGTAACTCAGCCAACCCACCGTCCCCCAGCCTTTGGCCTCTGCCTCCCAGCAATTTACCTCTTTGCAGCAAACGGGGGAAATGGGGGCTTGCGGAGGCTGTGATAGACTATAGCAATCCCTGCAGCCTGAAACAGCTGATGATCGGGAGGCAGGCTTAAACTGAAAGTGAAACCTGCTGTTTGCTCCTCGAGGCAAATTGCTGGGAGGCAGAAGCAGATTCTTTTTTCTTGTGCTTATCAGGCTGTTTGCTGTTTGGCTGCAAGGAGGTCAGTCGATAACTATAAATGCCTCTAGAATGTTCAAATGATTAGACTTGTTTTTTTTAAAGACTGCTCTATGATTGTTCTAGACAGCTCTAGAGAGCCAAGGTGGTGCAGTGGTTAAATGCAGCACTGCAGGCTACTGCTAGATCAGCAGGTCAGCGGTTCAAATCT